ATGGTGCTAAGCGCAGGACACCATTGACTCCTCCCTACAGCCCTCCCTCCTACAGATGAGGACATGGGCACGGGGAGTTGAGTAACGAGCCCACGTTCACTCAGCTAATGTGTGGTGGATTGGGATTTGAACCCAGGGAGCCTGGCACCAGAGTCTGTGTTCTTAGCTACTCTTTGAAGGGGCTCGTAATGGCCCCAGGTGCAATTGTAGGGACTTTTTTCCTGGGGCAGGTAGAAGGTCGTTTCTTTCTGGGTCCCACAGTGGGAAGGGCGGGGATGGCTGTGACACAGGCTCCACTCTCCCGCTGTGTCTGCCAAGAGCCCCCTGCCTGCCCCCTCCCACCATCTGTGCCTTCTCCTTCCTCACGACCCAGCTCTGACGTCCCCTCTGAGTTCCCTGAGTTCCCACCCAGGCCCACCCATGCCCATTGCTCCCCCCACGTCGGCCTCGTTAAATTTCTTCCCTGCACGTTTCATTCTCTGGAATTGTCTGGAGTGTTGCTTTGGTGTCTTGCGTGTTGTCTGTCCCCTGCCACAAGTGCAGGTCTGTGGGGACAGGACTGGGGGCACATCCCGAGAGCCGGGAGCTGGGCCTGGCGGAGAGCATGTGCTCAGCAAGGCCTGTTGGGTGAATTCTGCGCCGGCCGCTGGAAGGTGCTGGAAGAAATCGCCAAGGTTGCCCCATCCAACTGCTCACTTGACAAAGGAAATGAGAGTGGGTGAGGGGCCCCAGAAGCTGTGTCCCTGACCCCCCGAATATGCTGCCACATGGGTACGTGTCTTAGGCACACATGACATGGGTCACCATGGAGCCTGATGACCTTCCAGCAAGAGTGAAGCTGTCTGTGTCCAAGACAAACCTCAGCTTCCAGGATCTACTCCACGTGGACTCCGCGGTCAGCAAACCATGGCCCTGCGCCCTCCGACGGGCACTGAGGGGGAGGGGTCCGTGCGGCAGGACCCCCTCCGCACACCCCTGCACGTGGGAAACCGAACGTAAATGGAGGGGGGACGGCGCGCCCACCCCGGCCAGGCCGGGGCTCCGCAACCCACCGCAGCTCACTCGGCCTCCCTCCTCTGGGAGAGATGCTGGCATTTCCGCATTTCTGTCTTTTCCTCCTTTGGCTCTTTCCGCCTGAGGAGCGGCGGGCACAGGCTGCGGTGGAGTAAGAGCTTGGAGGGTTTGCTTCCCTTGTCACATCCTGAGCTCAGATCCGGTGGCTTCCTTGGGAGTTGACAGCCGACAGTGTTAGTGTCGCTGTCACCAGAGCGATGTGTTCTCTCCAGAGAGGAATGTGCGGAGTTTGTTCCCATGAAATCCCGGTGGGGCAACTCTTCTGAAACCTCGGTGAGCCTCTCAGCCTAGCTGCTGGCGCAGCAGGACCTACCCTGATCAGAGTCTGGGGCTGCGGGGCCTGGTGCTTGGGCCTCTCAGCTGGGTGGGTTTGGCAAGTCTTGCTTAGTTACCATTTCTTCACTTTGACCTTGTCCTGTGCCTCCCAGGTTGCTGGGGAAATACCCAAACTGACGTAGCACCGAGAGCCAGCCGTTCCATGCCTGCAAATTATTCCAAACTCTGACGTTGCTTTTTCACTTCATGACATGTTTTCCTGTCTGGTCCTAGTTCATATTGCAAATGCACTTTTCTGTATAACCAACACTGTGACATTTTGATTTACTAAACTCTGCCCTTCATTCAGATTTCACTGTATTTCCCTAATGGCCTTTTTCTGTCCTACAATTTCATTCAGGATACCAAGTTACACACACTGCATTTTTCAAAGCTTTTTGAACATGAATCAAAGTTAGAAATATATTTTGCATCACAGGACAATGTACATGCTTAAATAATCTGAGATAAAATATTAAGAACACAATACTTACTTTTACCAACTGGGATGCTCTTGGGGGTTTTCTAGTCTGTGCTTTCCCATCCCACCCCGCCCATCCCGTCCCATCCATCCCAAAGTAAAAATACCCTTCAAAGTGTGATAAGCTGAACCGCCCATGAAGGGGTCAGTGTCTGCAGTGTGAAACCTCATTTTGCATGAGGACGCTTTCTCCCATTGTTTTTGCACGGTGGGTGATAATTCTATCTCCTGGACCCCCTGGGAGCCCCTTGCACTAGGGGAGGGTGTCTTTATTCTCCCCTGGTCCCCCACAGTAGGCGCTGTGCCTGCTATAGGTGCTCTGTAAATCCCTATTGCCCAATGGCTCCATGTGTGGGTTCTTTTTTTCCATTTTCTCCCATTTTGGCCCGTCTGTTTCCGAAGGGTGGAATGCTTAGGGAGCAGCACCCCCGCCCTTTGGCTGGTTGGTAACGGAATATCTGCAGGCACCAGAGCTCAAAATGAACTTGCGTGGCACGCTGATCTCGAGCCTCCTGAGGCAGTGGTGCCCGAGGCTAGGGCAGGTCCCCTGCTGAGGTTTGAGGCCAACCCAGGGATTGGAAGTGCACGTGTGTTTTCTTTCAATCGGCGTAAGGATTTGGGTAAACATCAATGCCCTTCAATGCCTCAGAGAGTCCCTTACAATGAATTGCCCTGCACTAAATGCCAATAACATCCTCAGTTGGGACACTCTGACCAAGACCAAACTGAGATTAGAAATTGGGAGGGTGACAGGAGGGTCAGTTTCGTCCTGTGCGAGCTTCCCTTTTTTGCAATTATCAGCCAGTGGGGTTTCTACCCCGGGGCGGGGGAGGAGGGGCTGGCCCCGGGATGAGGGGTAGACGCACTTGAGAGAACTGCTGGGCCCCGGACAGCCAGGTGAGGCTGCGGGAGCCCAGCAGATCTGCCCCAACAGCTCCCAGCTCCCAGGTTGTGGGTGGAAGGAATGTGCTGGGGGCTCTAATTACCGCGGGGAGAGCGAACCAAGGGAGCCACGGCTCCTTTTGGGTAAATCGGCTGTGGTCACACCCCGCATGCCTTTCTGATCATTGCCAGACCGCAAAGAATGCATCCCCCACCCTCTCCTTTGAGTTCAGCCCTTTGCCTCGGAGATGGAGAGAGCTTTCCCGCCATTCCACTTGGTGAGGAGCCCCGGCCTCGTCCTGGCTGTGACTCATTCCCTGTTTATCAGAGGCTATTGCAGGCTCAGTAAAATATATCACCCAGGCCCCTGGCAGCTTAAGGACTCGCCGAGAGGTTTGAATCCAATGGAACGGCTGATCATCATTCCCCTAGGATACACATTCCTTCTCTTTGTTAAGGAATTAATGCACCATACTTTCATCTTAACACGGGTAAATAAAACTGATCTCTCTGTGGAAACAGAACCCTAAGGGAAATACATGTTTTACAGCTCCACTATCTGGGGCCCTATTAACACATTTCATTTCGTTTGTATAATATGTCATACTTTGCAAAAATATTTTCTCATGCACAAGTTTATTGAATACGTGGAAGGTGTTTGAACATCACGCATATTTATCATTGTTTTCCCAATCAAATTTAAAAAAAAAAAGAAAGGAAAAAAGAGAATGCCTACAAATCTTCAGTTATATACACTTTCTGGTAAGCACAGCGAACCCATGTTCGCATTTTTTTCCTCCCCTATTTCATCCTTTCCTTTCTCCATAGCGTGTGACTCACGCTCTAAACCAGTTCTTCTCCGGCTCCTTTCATTCAGGCACATGTGGTTGTAGGCGGCTATTGCTTTTGTCCATCCAGCATCTTTGCCTCCTCCTGAGAGCACTGCCTTGATTTTATTTCGGGCAAGAAGTCCCTCCCCTCTTCAATCCGTGTGGGGGAATTGACCATTAGCCTTCGGCTCTAGATTTGGCCTTGACAATTGGTGTAATCTCCCTCTTCACCCTCACCGCCTCTTCCGTAGGTCAAAGAGCGTCCTGGGTGGTTAATGAAACTCAATGCCAGACTTGCTTTGATTTACTGGAAAGAACATCTCTCCTTTCATAGGACTTGCTCCTGCGAGGATGTGAGCAGGGCCACAGAGGAGAGAGGTTGTGCATGTGAGGTTGATGTGGAGGCAAACGGCCAAGAGTTGGAGAGAGACGGAGCCTTGTAGATGTGATTTGGGCTCCTGGATTCAACCATGCCTGAGCCGTTGTCCTGGAGCAGGCCTTCTCAGCCATGGAACCATTAACAGTTCGGAGTTGATCATCATTGTGGAGTCCGTCCTACACATTGTAGGTTAACAACTTAACAACCTCCTTGGCCTCTACCCACTAGATGCAAGCAGCATGCTCCACCCCAGCCTCCTGACAACCGAAAATGACTCTAGACCTTGCCAAGCATCCTGGGGCCTGGCGTGGGTGGGCAAATACCTCCATTAAGAATCACTACCTTAGACTGCCTTTAAGTTATGTGGTCAATAAATGTCCTCCCCCCCGCCCCCTCCTAATTCCTGTCTGACTTGGGTTTTTCTGTTCTTGTTTCCAAAGGGCTTTCTGTCCAATAGAGAGCTGTCCCTTTAAGATTCAGGGTGACACCTAATAAAAGGGGCTGGATGGCTGCAAGGAATGATGGGACACCCTGTTGCCAAGAAACCAATTCTAGACTGCAGCTAAGTGGTTTAATAGTCTGCAGTGATATTCACAGGGGGTGAGACAGAGCGCCTCCTAGCTCACCTGGTTGGTGATGAAAAACTGTCTCGTGGCAGCTTCCCAGGGAGAGGGAGGTGGTGGGACACGCCTGGGGGGCCATGAGATGTTCTGCCAAGACTAGGTGAGCTCGTTCGGGCCCGCACTCCGTCTGTCCGAGGGCTGTGACTGTGCACGCAGGACCTCCAGGGTGCCAGTTATTATGAAACGAAGGGTAATGTCTTTTGGGTGATTAAAATACTATTTTGGCACTATAATACCCAGTGCCAAACATGTACAGGGCTTCAATCATCTGCCCAAAATGGGGGGAAAAAACCACTGATCCAAGTAGATATTTCCAGACATTCCCAAATATCTAAATGTTGGTATATTGAAGGGCAAATATCCAAGAGTTTTGGTGGATAATTTGTGTCCATTTAGCAGACACGTAAGAACACAGAGAGCTCACGTCAGCAGCATAGGCACTAAAATTGGAAGGATACGGAGGAGGTTAGCGTGGCCCTTGTGCAAGGATGACACAGAAATTTGTGAAGCGTTCCACATTTTTGTGCAAACTAATAAAAAAAGTAAAGTCACCAAAAGAACAAAGAACACTGAGAGGTACAAAGTTCACATTTACAGCCGTCTCAGAGCAGGGCTGGGAAAGGCTGCCTGGGATTACAGCTGAATATGAAGTTCTTGCCTGGAATTCCCACCCCCACCCCCTGTCCCCCAAGCCCCACATGGATCCCAGTGTGTACACAGCGATGATGCTGGGATCCTGGTGTTTCGAGGTTTCATCTGAGAGACCCTTACCCAAGGAACACCTGGCACTCATTTGTTCTAATTTGGGATGATACTGGGGAGGGGATGCTGCCCCATCTCTGCTCAAGAGAAGAGAGAGAGAGAGAGAAAGAGAGGCCAAGACAAGCAGGAGGTTGGGAGCCAATGACACAGTCATATAGTATCTCGTTTTGCGATTCAATTCTGTGTTTAGGAGGGCTCAGGCAAGCTGAGAGTCTGGGGCCCCTTTGACACTCTTAAATCTTCCTTTTCTCCAGGGAAGACCTACACCCACCATCGGTGATGAGGGACCCCCCCAGGCTCACCAATTCCTTGAGCTTGAGGTGAATTCAAGGCAGGGACTGAGGATGAAGCAGGCGCCTTGGGCACAATAATGTTGGGGTGGCCCCAACTCAGTAATCAAGATAAATATGATTTTGATGCAATACTTTAAAGATTTTATTTATTTTATTTTTAGAGAAAGTGAGACAGAGGAAGAGAAATATCAGTGTGGGGTTGCCTCTCATGTGCCCCCAACTGGGGACATGGCCTGTAACCCAGGCATGTGCCCTGACTGGGAATCGAACCAGTGACCCTTTGGTTCTCAGGTCGGTGCTCAATCCACCGAACCACACCAGCCAGGGGTGATACAATACTTTAAAAATCAAAATCGATGCCAAAAATGTCCACAATGAACAAAATATCAACTTTTAAAATAAAGACAGGAATTAAAACTTCAGATATATTGCTCAACATATTCTGTTTTGAAAAGGATCACAATCAGAATGATAGCTTATTAAAAAAAACACAACAAAACACAAAAACAAACCCAAGTCCCAACAAGGCAATTTATATCAGAAACAAACCATGATTATTTTTTCTGAAAAAACTGAGTCAGATTATGACAGTATTTTATGATGTGAATAGGTTTTATGCCTGTGTCATTCATTGATGGAAATGCCCAAATGAGTTATTTGTTAACGGGAACCATCAAATCCTAATCCCAAATGCAACTGCTTTCGGGGTTTCATAAATCTGGTCCCTAAAATTTTTGCAGTCAACTCAAGATCCTCGCTTCCTGCCCCAAAGGACCCTTGTGTCTTGCAACACATTTCTCAGGTCTGCAGGCACCCAGAGGAGAGAGCTCACTTTATGATCAGAAGGGAGATGAAAAGCATATCTTAACGGGGCATTTCAAAAGCATTCTGTGCTCATCACAGGAGCATCCAAAGTACCTACATTATTTAGAAAATGGCAGGAGAGGGAATAATGAATGCAGAATATGAAAATGATTCATTCCGCTTTTTAAAAAATGCAACCGAGGCAGAGACAAAATAAAACCTCTGCTGTTTGCAAAGTCAAGACAGTAAAGAGATGATTAAGCAAAAACAAACCTGAGATTTAACCTTAAAGGAACTGAGCATTTTAATTTTTTCAAAGGGTGGAGAAAATGCCTTAAGAGGGTATCTGAAGGTTAAGGAAACTGTTATAAAAATGAGAATTACATGCTCTTGAGTTGTTCACAGCTCTGTCCCTGGAGTGTGAAATTAGCGACTGAAGGCAGATTTCACAGGCACTTGGGGAGCGTGTTGGTGCCGCAGTGGATTGGCGAAGGGGCCTTGCTGCCAAGACCCGCCCACTTGCAAGCTGCTGTCGTTATTCATGCAAAGCACAGATAATCCTGAGTGTCTGGAGCGTTTTGCATTTATATTGAACACAGCCTCTCTGCTTCCACTGGGAGTGAGTCTAGTGCTGGGTGCAGGCGGAGTGCACGGGGCAGGGGGTAGTGGGGGTGGGGCGTGGATGAAACAGACCAACATTCTCACCAAAGCTGCGTTTTTCTTTTTAAGGAAAAAAAAAAAAAATCCATCCATATGGATTACATTCACTGGAAAGTTTGGGGAAATGTTTAGAAAATAGGGGTATGATTTCAAGTGTTAAACCTTAAAAACGCCTCCAAGGTCAACAAGGAATTCTGTGAGCCTGGGTTTCCAGTCTGAAACAATTGACAATACCCACTTTACCTGTCACACCGGGATTCTGGAGAGGTGGGTCGGAGAGGTTTCACAGAAGAGAGAAAATTCAGGAAACCGTGAGAGGTGGTTGTATTACCGATTCTGTTCCTATCTTTCCTGGTCTCATCCACATCACAAAGGACAACCAAACCAAACTGTAATTATTACTTTTCACACCTTTGTTATAGTCATGTGGGCAGAACTGAGCTTGGCCTCTGTTAAAAAGATCCTTGTTAACTCAGCTAACAGGCCCCAGAATACAGTTAAACTAATAGCCCCTGAGACTATTGCGAGAAAGCAATAGTCTCAGGGGAAAATCTTGAGTCACTGTAGCGTCTTTGGAAGCATGTTGGATTGTTTTATTGATTAACTTTGGGGAGCATTATACTTCTAAACACAACCCCGTATCAACCATGAACAAATCACTTCCAATGGAATAGGTTCTCTTTTTAAGGCTGCTTGGTGACGGGAGGTGTTTGGCACCCCCCAAACATGGTTTGAACTTTGAACGCGCTTGTGGAAATTTGAGAGAATGTAAGAATTGGCTCACAGCTCCCCAACGCATGCTATAAATAACCCGTGGATTAAGATGCTTTTTGGTACAAGTAGCAGAAACTCATATTTGGATCTGCTTAAACAGTTATAAAATACGTTGGTCCCCTCAGTCAAAAGGTGAGTCAGAGATCTGAAGGTGTCTTCAAGGACTGAATGCCTTTCATCTCTGCCCTGGTCTTTGGGTTGGATCAGCCCCAGGCGGGAGGCCCTCTGGCGCTGGAGGTCACTTGTGTTCACAAGAAGAAATCAGGTCATCGAAAGCTTTGGAAGTTTCTCAGAAGAGAGCTCTGGCTGAGCTGGGGTGGGGCCGTCTTCTCTGAGTCCCATGGGAGGTGGAGGGAACAGGAAATTCCCGAGAAGTCAGGGATTGTTTTCTGTGAGGGTGGGTCGTGGATGTTGGAAGCCAGTGCTCAGTGTCCACTACCGTCTGGGAAAAACTCACTGTTTCCTCTCTCCTGCCCTCACTGAAGAAAAATTCTGTTCTTCCCACCGAATGCTAAATGTTAAGGCAGCAGGCCAGCAACCAGTGGCTAAAGCTCACAAAACCAGGACATGGAGCACAAGGAACTCATATATCAGCGGTGGGAGCGTGAGAGAGTACAACTGCTTCAGGAAACTCTTGGGCAGTGTTAAAAAATTAAAATGCACCTCTGTCCTCTGATCCAGTCATTTCACACCTCTATAAGTACACAAGAGCAATGCAGACCTGCTCACAAAAGATGCAAACACGAGCGCTCATAGCAGCTTTATTCAGAAGAGCCCCAAATTGGAGATGACCCATGTGTCCATTAGCAGGAAAGTGGATAAACAAACTATAGGCTATTTATACAATGGAATACGACTCAGCAATAAAAAAGGACATGCTACTTGTGCACCCCACAACAAGGATAAGGGTTTTGTTACGGAGGCGTCTTGCTTTCAGAAGTACCAAAGTTTGGAAGTGGCTGATCCTGGACGTGGACCAAGGAGGCAGGGACCAAGGACAGTTGCTACATTTTCAGCCTTTCTGTGCTTTTGCTAATGTGAAAGATCATGTATTATTTAATTTAATTCAACTTAAAGGGTCTGTTTCCTCTCTCTGCCCATTGACCCACAGTGAAAGTTTAGTTAAATAACTGGAAGTCCAACTCATTCAAGTTCGCCTTGGATATTTAAAGTCCAGACTGGAGGATGGCGGTCAGTTATAGAGAACTGTACAACTTGGTCCAAAGTCAAGGAAATGAGTCATCTAGGTGGCCAGGGCTTGGTGGTTCTTGCTCTCGGGTGGTTCAGCAGAGACGGCTCATTCTGGCAGAGGGACAAGTTGGGGCATCTCAAGCGAGAATGGGTTTGAAAATGAAGCCCCATGTGGGACGCCACCATCAGTCTTACAGAGCACCAGCCAGGATCCTGGAAACAAACTAAAGATAAGTAGAGAAGGGCAAGTTTACATAAATTAAGGATTCTCTAAGAAAATAGTTTCATATGCCGATTGGCACTGCCGTGTCTGGTGGATTTCCAAATGCAAATGAAAACCACCTCTGTTGAGCCAGGCCGCTCTGCTTCTGGAAAGCTCCAGGCAGCGAGTCCAGAATTTACCAAACAAGAGGCAAAGGAGTAAAAATGTAGGGGGCTGCCACTCACATTTCATATGCATTGATCATTTTATTAAGAGGCAGACCTTGGAATGTGATTTGTTTCACAGAATCTCGATTTAGACCCCTCCTTCCGTAAGTGTTGCAAGGCCTGTCCGCTGTAGGTAACCTGCCTGCTGTTTTCTGTGTCCCTCCCACCCTGACTATGCAGCTTGCATGGGGGTGGGGTGTCCCTAGGCTGGTCACTACTTATCCCCATGTTCAGAGCAGGACCTGCTACATCTTAGGAGCCCAGGAGATGATTCTTGCGTGAAAGGATGAATGAAAAGTTTCTGTGCCCCACTATAGGTGGTTCGTTGTTGTTGTTATTTTACATTGCTATACTAATATTTTAGGTCGGCATTCAGTAAGACATGGGTAATCTTTTATTGGTTTTTTGTTCACTTTGTTTTGTTTTGGGATAGGAACTCTTCATAAACAACAGGAACTGACACTGGTTGCTAGAACCAATCAGCTTCAAGTGTTTTTGATGTTTTGGTTCCATGCTTAAGGAACAGCTTCTGAGGAGAGAACACAGACTGGCCAGGGACGGGCTGCCTGGTGGAGGACGGGCACCTTGATTGGCAGGTCCGCTAGTCTGA